AGCTGCGTGTTCATGAAGTCGTAGATCTGAGCAAACGGTAAGCTTCAAAGGACGAGTTCACGGGGACATGGCAGACGTACGTTCCACTGCGACATGAAGAGCGTGTTTGTTGGCAGAAGCGGAGAAGTGAGGGAAAGACGTACAATATTTTCCAGGATCGCTGGGAGTCCGGACGCCAAGTTCAGGTTCTTGACATTGTTGAAGAACTGCGCCGCATCGTTCGCCCTAGCAATAAACGCGTCCGAGCTGTGGAAGGCGGCAATGTGCTTTTGGAATGCCGGACAGTCCGTCCAGCTCTCCATAGAACGGTCGTTGCCAGGCTCAACAGTTTCCACTGGATCCCCACCGTTAGCACACGACCAGGATTGGAACAGTGTTGAGACAGACTTGGGACGTACTGATAGCCCCCGAGCGGTGCCGTCACGACCTCCCCATTTGCAAGGGTGATCTTGTTCCTGGAGGCGGGTGGAAAGAGCCCCTGGAGTAGGGCACTTGCACTGTCGAACACCACCGCGCCCTCGCCGCCCGCCTTGGCACGGACTTTGACTTGCTGGGTGTCGGCGATATCAACGGATATGCCGGAGATGAAGGACATCGAGCCAGCGTTGAGATATATGTTGCGCAGCGATGCACCCAGCTGAAAGGCATGTACCTGGGGAAACATCTTTGTGAAGCCTCGAGGACCTCGCGTAGCAGAGAAACATCACGGACCTCGCCCAGCGCAGTGGTCGTGGTGTCGCCGCTGGCATACGTGTTCGGGTCTTGGTAGAACGTAGTACGGTCGCCGTTGCGCGCAATAACGATGACGCCGAGGATGTCGGTCATTATTCAGAGTGGATGTAAGATTGGGAAATTTGGGAGAGGGTTAGTGGATTCGGGAGGGCGAGGCGCCATTTTATGCAGTGCTCTCTGGCAGATGATCGTCGATGCTAGGAATCGAATCGTCGATGCTAGAGATCCGAAGTGATCATTGAGGTCGATTGCCCATCAACCTCTCCTGGGGTCCGATTTAGTTCATTTGGCGTCCGATCAACAGGTTCGGGATACTTGGGGCCAATTTGCCTGTGGATGCTGGGTCTTGAGGTTGAGCATCTGTCAGTCCCATGACCCCGAAATTGTGCGGGCAAAGGTTGCGCAGTTGAATTTAGTCGTCGACCTTGCGTAGTGTTCCTTTCGTTCATTTCGCGCAGTGTTCGTTTAGTAGCCATTTTAAACGTAATGCAGCCCATGGTAAAATCGGAATTCGGATTAAGCGTTGAGCTACACTGATCATGAACACGCCATTCACCTTCTAGACGGCTTTCATAAGGTTTCGCGCAAGCCCATTTCGATATTTCGTGCCCGCGGACGCCAAGGCTCAAGATTGGATGATCATGACCCATGAGAAATCTACTAATTTGCGAGCAGAATGGACTAGAAGCAAAGCAGAAGCGTGCCTGACAGTTACTCTCTTGACGCTGAGCGTTCCATCCCAGGCAAGTCCAGGGAATATTGGCGGAAGGCCTACGATTGAATTCAGAGTATCCCCCGATTATCTTCATGCATGTGAAGGGATATTCGAATATTCCGGTCTTGAAGAAGGTACTTTTCCGCTTTCCTTTGGTTTTCATTTCCTGTTATGGCGATGAACAGATGAGCCGATGCCACGCAATCGCTCCGTCGCCCGAAATGACCGAGGCGCTTTATCGCTTGATACAGCAATGCCTTGTGCTTCCATCCGCCTACGCGTGACCGGGGCTGCTCGTGCGGTTTGCGGAGGAGAAAATGACGAGCAACAAGGACACGCTGTATCCAAAGAAGGGGAGCAGAATTCAGCACGAGCAGATGCCCAGATTGGCGTCAGGGAAGACGCAGCGTAACGTCCGAGGACGTCCATATGGCGATTTCGGGAGGTCATCGAGTAGTGTGTTCTGGTCTGGATTGATCTATCCCAGAATCCCTAAATGAACCATCTTCCTAGGAGCTGACCACGTACCGAATTACTCTCGTAGTTTCTTCTTGCCCTGGCCACCGAACGGTGGTCCTCGGAAACCAATGCTGAATGCGCCGACTCAGAGTCATAGAGTGATTGTTGGGGAGATTCATCCGTGCACGTTGAAGCGCCATCCACCGATGGCAACCCGGGACATCCGAGGCCGTCTAACAATTCCAGGGGTCATCGAGTAGATCGTTCTTTGGTTCTGAAGTCAACAGTTTATTTACTACATCCTGCGTTACGTGCAGCGGTCTGACGGATAGGGACAATAAGTGCCTACTTCTTCGGAGTCAAAGTTCCCCACGTACCGAACTACGACTTTTCAACTTGATCCTTGCTGGTCCTCGGACGCGCGCTGCTGGCTATTGGCTTGAAGATCCATCCGCCGTGCAACCAGAAGCGCCGCCCACCAGTACTGAACTTGGTTAGCCGGAATTTTCCACTAACTGCATTGAAACGTACCAGCGGTCCATTGGCTGGGGGCGATGAGTATGAGTGCCTCAATGAGGACAAGTTGATCGCGTACCGGGCTACTTCGTAACGTCTTTGCTTTCCTTTTGGGCCCACCGCAACCCCCACTGTCTACAATGAACCGTGCCAATTAGGACTGATGATGAATGCCTGGATGAACTAGCTTCCCAGAACGTACCGAATTACTTCCTTCTTCTAAGCTCTATCTGCATCGAACGAGGCGCGCGCCGCGAAAAGTGTAAGTCATGGCGAAAAGGAGGCAAAATGACGACGGAGACTCGTTGACGGAGCTATGACTGTCGAACTCGAACACGACTTGAACTTCGAGAAGATGTCTACTGTGGTATGAATCTGACAAGATTATTGTGCGCCAACAAGGACAAGACGGATCCAAAAAAGCGAAGTCAAGATGCGGAAGTCCGGAGGGGCATAAGCGAGTGCGCGGCGCAAATTTGCAAGGAGCCGTGGGGCTACAACTGGGGAAATTGACAAGAATAAGCGAAACTGTAGCCAGCCTGTACGAGATTCCGAGCGAACCCTAAGAGAATTGAATGGGCAAGTTCGAAGATCGCGATCGCCCGGGGGACAGAAGCCTGAAACGGGCGCGGACCCTCTGGGTGGGGAGAATAAGATGGGGACCTGAATGTAGGGAAAGATTAACAGGCCGAGGCGACAAGCACAGACTCCGGAGTCAGATGTACAGAGCGATACTACGAGGACGAAACAGAGATGGAGAATTAGCAGTTCCTTGTCGGAGACAGACTGCATCGATCCTCGAAGAAGAATTTGCACGAGTATAATTCGCTTGAACCGGGGCGATAGAGGGGGTCTGAGCAGCCAGTCCGCCGGTCCGAGTCACTGCTTCAAGATCCCTTTCCAGCTTGTTTCCAGCTCGAGTCGTCTCTGGAGCAATTTTTTGTTACAGTTTCGCTGAAGATAGAGACACTGGACACAGACGCATCGTCCTCCCATCCGTGCTGGAACTTGCCGGGTGGTGGTTGGAAGAAGAAAGGCGGTGTGGCACGGACGCATCAACAAACACCACACCCATTGTTCTCCCACACCGCCATTGTGCCCTCAAAGGCTCAAACGCCCAGTGACCGCCACCTTGCACTATAAAGCCATGCTAGGACTTGATAGCTCTGTATTCCCCACCTCGCCCCGCCAGCCACGACCACGACCCTCAGGACTGGTTCCTTCACTTTTGCCCTTTTCTTCACTTTCAAGAGCATTCACGACTCACGAACACCACATTCTCTCTTCATTTCACTTAATCTTTCTACCTGACACCTCTACACACCAACGAAGAAACCTACGATGATGTTCTCCGCGATCCTCAAGTCCGCCGCGGTCGTGCTGGCACTCGCTTTACACGCCAACGCCCACGCGATGGCCACGCCTGCGCTCGGCATCTCGGGTACCCCAAAGCGCAGCGACACGCAGCGCCCGTCGACAAAGTCGCCCTGTGGCAGCGTCGACATCGCGTCCAACCTCGACAAGTCTGCGGCCGTTCCTGTCGAGGACGATGGCACGACTGTTAACCTCAATGTCACTAATTTTAATGCGTGCGTGCCCTCCTCCCTATCCGTTTCAACGTGATTGACGTGACATGCAGCGGTGGGGACGGCTCGCGCTCTGTCTCGGTGCTGGTTGACCCCACGGGCACGGGGAAGAAATTTGTGGCGGCGAAGGTCACCCACAATGGCAATGCCGTGCGTCTCCTCTTTCCAATCTTTCTGTATCTCGTCTAATGCGCCCGCGATAGAACCCGAAGACGGACGGCACCGACGTCGTCACGCTTTCCCTCCCCGCGGGGACCCAGTGCACGGGTGGAACGGACGGGAACCGGTGTCTCCTGGTACGTCTCCTTCGTTATCCCCTCCTCCGTCTTTCGTGATACTTACCTATGTTTGATCCAGTCCGTCAAATCCACAGCTGGCTTCGGCAACTGCGTCGTCGTTACGCAGACCGCATCTTCCTCTGCTGGTGCCGCCCCCGCCGTCTCTTCATCCGCCGCCACAACTGCCCTCTCTACCTCCGTCGCAGCCGCCGCCCCGAGCGCCAGCGCCAGCGGCTCATCGACGAAAAGCAAAGCCAAGGTCCCGTGCACCAGCAACCACAAGCGCCGCGCTGCCGGCTCGCGTCTCCCCCGCGCTTTGCGTCTTGCTGCTGCTCACTCAGCGGCGGAGGGGTCGGGGGAGGAGGAGGGCCTGCACTCGCACCCTTTCTTTGCGAGTATGCCGCTTTGAGTCCAGGCGGCGCCGTGGGTTTAGGTGGGCTTTCGTGGGCCGCGGGGGCGGGCACGAGCCTGATGATGGACTGTAGATAAAGACGTAGAATAAGGTACTGTATTTCTAGCACAGCGCTCTCTTTGTAATGTGATTTTTTTGTATCTTCCTCGTTTGGCGTCAGTGCGCGCCTGAGGTCAAGTAGCCCTTACCCCGCGCCGCGCCGTATATGATGGGACGAATCTATCGTGAGTGGGCCAAAAAAAAAAGCGTGATAAAAACCGGAAAGAAAAAGCCGGGAGAAAAAGACCATCCGGCTATGTGCACGCCCCAGGCGGGATTCGAACCCGCGTCGCCCGCTGATACTCTGAATTCACTCACAGTGAAGGGGAGATCTTTCAGCTGATCTACCGGGGCCTGATCTAGCTTGACATTGTACCGTACCTCCAAATCGAACCGACTCAGTCGCAGTGCCAGGACACACATTACGTCCTGTGTTGGAATCATCGGGCATGGTGGATGGCGACTCTGAGATATTTGAAACTTGACACGGCATGACAATGAGAAGGGAGAAGAAGGAGAAGAAAAAGGGATCACCCAGCTATGTGTATGCCCCAGGCGGGATTCGACCCCGCGTCTTCCGCTTACTTTAGGAGACAAGTATGTACTGACAGCGGAGGATCTTCCAGTTGATCTACCAGGGTGTGGAAAAGATGGCCTCAAGTTGGACTTCGTGGGGTCATGGGCAACTATATTCTCCGATTTTTTCCGCAATGTAGTTGCCGCTCATTCAAAGTGTCAGTAGGACTTTGGACGATTGCAGAATACTGGGAAGATACTCGAGTTTGAAATGGGATGCTGAAGTTGAAATAGTACAATACAATGCAAGAAAAAAAAGACAAATTCCACCCAGTGTACGCCCGAGGCGGGATTCGAACCCGCGTCATCCGCTAAACTAGTATACTCCATCAAATTGAGAGCGGAGGATCTTCCAACTGATCTACCAGGGCTTGATGAAATGGTTCATGTTGGCATTGCACGGCTACGTGCCAATTGCTCACACATCTGTTTGAACAGGATTCAGCCTGAAGACGGCACATGGATGCAGTATGGGCCCATGGGAGGCCTACGCAAGATGAAAAAATACGGAGACCGAGACTAACCCGTAAACGGTATAAGGCCCACCGAGATGCACTCGGGCTTGAGAGTGGATATAGGTGTCAAAGTAGGCGCGCTTCGCAGCGTGCAGGTGTGGGGTTAGATTCGGAGGAAATATTCAAGAAATTACAGTGGAGGATCCATCCTCAGGCTGAGAGTGTATGATATCCGGCAGCCGGCTCTTCCGAGTCGAACCACCTCAGTCACAGTTGTATTAGACCGCATTGTTCTAACTGCTGTTAGAATCGACGTGCATTGGAGCGTGTAAACGAAAACGAAAACGAAAACAACCACACAAAGAACGCCTCCTGTTGGTATGAGCCAGGCGGGGCTCGAACCCGCGTGGTTGCAACATAGCATCTTCCTGCTGATCCACCATGTCATTAGCCGCCAGAAAGCAGCATCGTCACACCGTGCTTCAAATCGGCCTTTCACGGCGATGCCCAAATTGCTCCGGAGATTCATGAGGCGGACACGGAAGATGAGATTTGCTTGGGAACAAAAAGACAAGATGGCTTTCCCCTATACCCCGGCCGCGAGTCGAACCCGCATCATCCGCTGAAACGGTTAAAGATAAAGCGGATTCAAAGAGGAGGATTCACCGAGATCCACCGGGCCTTGCAAGTATATACATGTCTGTGCAAGTACAAGTACTATTAGCCGCGCTTTGCAGCCCCAGTTGGTTGAAATTTACCAACATGCCTGAGCAGTGGGCTATACCCAAGCCATACCGCACCCTCTTCCTTGCCAAATTCATGAACCATGATATGATTTTCAGTCAACGCTCTCGGCCAAATCGTTTCTTGGCTCATGAGGTCACATTGAAGAAACAATGAGATTGCCAGATTGCCCAGGCGTCAATATTAACTTCGCTTCAGAACGTCGGCAGTCTGTTCTACCTCCATCCCTTTGTTTCCCGTGGGCTGTGCTGTGCCAGAGAAGAAATGTGAAGATGTTATCCGACCAAGAGAGTCACCGTGGCACGCCAGACGGGACTTGAACCACTGTCTTCCAAAAGAACTAAACGCGGGAATTCGATTCCTACAATGCTGGCCGGGCTCGTGCACTCGATTGCCCGGAGCTTGTAACGCGGTGGGTGTAGTAGCTATCCACGAGCGCTGCAATCGATTCCGACGTGGGATCAGACGATAAGTTGAAAAGAAGACGGCCGTTTCCAGCTCACGGCTTCGAAGCATGATTGTAGAATTCTACGAACCGATTCCAACCGCGCGTAATTGTGCTTGAACCGTCGACATCGTTTCTGCCCCGAGCCGAATCGTGATGCTTTCTTGGCTTCCGGGTACGTGATTCTCAGATTGGGGCAGAGAATCGGGCAGAAGGAATCAAGTATCGCAACCTATGACTCGGCATTGAAAGCGAGAAATATTTGGTACGTAGGTTTGCCTGTGTCTAGCGCACTCGGAGACACCTGATACTCTCGCCCTCTCGACGGCTGATTGGATCTCCGCACACAACAGCCACGCTGTCGACGAAAGCATATAATAAGTAGGATGTAACTGGAGAAATGGATGTGCATGAGGGCCGCCGTAGATATAGAACAGAAACACTTGCCTCGTTCAAAACAAAGTCTTGTTCAGATCGTCACGATCCAACAAGACCGCGTCAAATCCGCTGTCTCGCAAGGTCTGGATGCGGGTGGCCACATTGTCCGACGACAGACCGAAAAGGCGGAGACGCGATAAGCGGCAATGAGCACTGGAATATTTTTGGAAACGGGAACGTGCCATGGCAAAGACGCGATGCCACCAGACCGGAGTGGCGTATTGATACCCCAGTTCAAACGACGTTAAGCGTGGACATATGTCGGAAGTGGCGCCGGATATAGACATGGCAGTGGTCCAGTCAGTGTCGATCTCATACTCCTCCTCTAGATCTAGCAAGAGTGATGTGAGAGTCGGAAGAGCCCCCAGGAGGGAGATAAGTTCGGAGTCAATGTGGCATTCGATCAGGGCAAGCCTTGTAAGTGTGCAGGAGGAGCGCCGGATGAAAGGGCCCACAGGGCTGAGTGTCTCTGTGAGGAGTTCTAAACACAGTTCTTCAAGGATTGGCGCTGCGAGATATGGGAGGACAGCAACGTATTGCGAGGAAAGCCGACGCAAGTTAGGCAGTGTTACGATGGGGGAGGGCTCGCTGTCAAACTCCTCTGTAAAACCGATTACACACTCCTTGAGCGTGCGAGCTGCCGCCCTCAGAATCTCCAGCTGCCGTGCGGAGGAATATGTTCCATGATAGTGGGTGATCTGTTGCCATGGAATCTCGATGTCTGCGGAATCCGAGAAGCTATGATGGGTGAGGATGACTTCGCGTAGGTTTCGAGCCGTCAAAAAGACATCAGGAATCTCGATCTCAGCGGCAGGGGAGTACACTTCAACTCTCTGTAATCGATCAAGACAACCTTCGACGGAGTGAAGCCAGTCAAAATCCTCGAGTCCGCAATCCTCGAACCGCAGATTGCGCCAGCGAGAAGAATGAGGGAGCAATACATCCATAAGGCGAGGATGGTCGTCAGCGCATTGCCAATGGATATCGAGAGGTGCATTGGCCGACCGCAAGAGTTGCTCTTTAAGCCTCCACAGTGTCAGACCCACAGAAGGGCCGACGGTGAGGGAGACCCAGAGAGCCGGATATGAGACAGCGTAGTTCCTCCAAGATCTGCAGATTTGGCCGAGATACCAAGGCGGCTTGGTCATCCCATCTTCGCTCGTCGACGCCGCGAGAAAGATCTCGCAAATGAGCTCGGCAGGAACACGCCGGATGGGAGATATGACGGATTGGTGTCGGCGAACGCTTTGCGCGACCTCGTCGCGCCGGCTCTGGTACCGGGAAAGTGCAGCTCGCAAATCGTGAATCTGCGTCTCCAGCGAACCAATCTGCGCATCGAATACCCTGATCCTGTCCTTTCCATCGCCGATGGCCTCACGGATGGATGGGAGCTCGGATTCAAGCGGCGGGTCGTTGCTTCTCAGCAGATGTGTCAGCTCTAGCGACTCGGAAGAGACTGCTGGTTGCGATTCAGATTCAGCGAGCAGCCTGAGTGTCAGAGGCGGCGCCCCGCAGTGGTGGCAAAGTTGGGTCATGCTACGGACAGTGAGCATTTGGTGATAAAGACTGTACCTACTCACCGCGTATTCGATGATGGTGGACGGAAGCAGGAGCCCGGAGATATCAAGCCAAACATCTACCCACAACACCCTGATGGCAAGCGAACATAAACCAACCTTGGAGATTGATTGTCAAGCAAACGAGGGCATTCGGTGCTATAAAGTTGCCAAGGTGCACAAACCCGCTCAAAAGATACCTGCGGAGGGCAAACATCTTGCTTTTAGATGCTGGTTAACGTTGTAAACTTGTAACTCTTGTTGTAAGTTGTAACTTCACAAACCGGTTCTGTGATATAACAAACAACGAGGTCCTAAGCATCGGACAGTGTCGATCTTCGATTAGGAATCGCATACTTCGAAGGGAAAAAACGGTATATGAATGAAGAAGGAACGTGCACGAAGACCAAATTCGACTCCGTGCACGTTCGAGAAGGATTGAACTCCGAGTCGAATTTAGTCGGAGTTCAATCAAATTCGACTCGGAGTTCAATCGTTCTCAGTGGACAGCAAATCAGAACGAAACAGGCGCCATTTTCAGAGTATCAATACGGGCGTCCGAATGGATTCCGGAAACTGACATACCTTCAAAGCACGCCTCACGGGAGTTTTTAAAGTCCGGTCGTTCACTTCTGCAACTGATCAGGCTGTTTGTTCCAGGCCGGATTTAACGGAGTCTGAGCAGTCATCTTGCATATTGAGAAAGCGCGCTGAGCCATGTTGAAGCATGTTGAAGCACGTTGAAATTCCAGTTTCGCCATCGCTGACGAATTACCTCAGACCCACAACCTAGAACCAGATGGCATGCAGCACCAACGAGTCAGAAGTTGCTCAGGAGATGGAAGTCCCGGGGGTTACATTGGGAGTCAGCTGTCCATATTTGCGTTGATCCAGTGGGTGGTAAATGTTTGAACAACTGTGTAATCCGGTTATCCATGCCGTTTTCTGTCTGTTATAAACACATTGAACTTGATCTCCGTTGGCAGCCAGTATCGTGGCCGAAATCGGTGGTGGGCGTTCAGATTCAGCAGTGCTTTGTCAGCCGGCAGTCGCCGGCGGAGTTTGAACGTCTCTTTCTTCTTACCGTCATGACTGGCGCGATTTCCGTCGATCGAGTCTTGAAAACCCGCTGGGAGTCTTGTCTTGGTTGCTTTTCTTTGTATTCTGTCGACCACGCTGCTTTCCGATTCTAAAAGCGTTCACGGAGACGAGAAAGCTTACCGCATTCTCGTACAAGATCACGTCCCATCTGGGATTGCCTTTTTCCGTGGGCAGACACGCCATGTCTGCAGCAGATCCCGGTGTCTGCCGCAGACCATTGCAGACCGACAGACCATTGCAGACACTGTTACGTTGCGTCAGACCGTCCGCAGACAATTTGCCCACATGGCTCGCGACTCCATCACATCAGCTCGCTTCAGATGGTGATGGCTCCCAAAATGGCCGGCGATTATGTTGACTTGTCGCGATGCCTTCGGACTCGAACCGACGCGCTATAAAAGGGCAGAGTCGTCAAGCTTCAATTACTTCCGCTCGCGCAAAGTTCCCCCCAAAATTCAAAGGTAAGTTTCTTTTCGAAGGTAGTTGAGTTTCATTTCCCTCTTGTTTCCCTCGCAAGTGGCTTGAAGGGGTTGAATTTCTGTGGCGGTATCTAGGCTGTAGTAGATTCGTTACATTTGTCGTGTCGTCCATAGTCTGAAAACCATTATTTTGCCCTATCTCTGCCGCGTCTG